CATCGGGGGGGAGGGCGAGGGGCGCCCTGGGGCCGTCGTCCTCTGGGGACCCCACGGGCCGCCCGGGGAGATGCGCCCTGACTGTCCTTCCTGCGGCCGAAATGAAAGAATTGTGCCTCGTGGACAGCCGCGAACACTTCGCCAGCTGCACCTTCCACCCTCGGGAAATGGGGTGGCCGGGTCCGCCGGCTGTTTTCGGTTATTTTCTGGGTTTGGGGGGGCCCCACTTTCTCTAAGGAAATGACCAGCATCTTGGAGTCGGCATTATCTGTTGGATAGGGATAAGGTGTCAGGCAGGCGGGACTGGGTTTTCCACTAAGCTGCCTGCCTACCTTTGGGGCGCCAAGATTATACCCTTTTCTTCGCTTTTCTTTCCCTTCCCCCTTAAGACTGAACGGGCTGTGCGGCGAATTTCCACTTAATTGTGACCTTCCAGTTGCTGTCAGAGTAGTGGGAGGTAGATGCCTCAGTGATGGTGTTATTTTTTCATATGGTTCAGACATGTGACGTAAGGTGGGGAGGCTTTTTAAACCTTTTTATTTTAACTCAAGTTATCTAAGCTTGACAGGGATGATTTCCCAGCTGGATTTTTTTTTAAGGATTATTTGGAGAGCACTCTCAGGCTTCAAACTACATATTGCCAGATGATGTAATGGCACAGGCCCCCCTTCCCTATTTTTACTGGTGGATATGACTCTGGTTACTTTGGCACACACAAAAAAGTAACCTCTGATTTTCGTGATTTTTATTTGACATAATGTTTAAATACTTTTCAAGAGTTTTCTTTGGTACATTTAAAGACCATCTCTTGTCATGCAGCTGTGAGTGACAAAACAGTAAAAGTTTAGAGAGCGTGATACATTTTTTTAATTCTTACTTGCAATTCATTTCTTAAAACCTCCCTCTTAAGTGACTAAGAACTTACTAAAATAACTCTTCTTTAAAAAAAGTATTGGGAATAATGTTTTCATTCTGTAGGTTTTTCAAAACTAAGGACTGATAACTGGAAATTGTTAGAGCAAGTTCGTCGTGTTAAATCGGTGCAGCTACATGTGGACAGTAATAAAATGACAAATTTAAAAATGTAGCTACGATTGACTGGTAAATTGGAATTACGTTTAGGAATTACTTTGGGAAATGCTTTGAAGGAATTTGTCACCCATCTGCTAGCAGAACCAGTTCCTTCTGTTGGTACCTTAGGCTTTCAGAGCTGATCTAGGAAGTTCTTAACTTGCAAATAAGCTAGTGTTTCAAGGGTTCATTTCTAAGTTGTTTAAAACGCTGAATGCATATACTTACAGAAACAGTTCTATGAATGGATTTAGGTCCTCAAGTAAGCACCCTCCCAAAAACATTTATCTCAGTGTAACTGAAAAATGGAAGGTTTGGAATAAAAACTTGGAGACATTGATACATTGTGGACACAGGTCTACAGACTGTTATCTGAAACTTGAGACATTGGAATTCAGAGTTTTTCAGATTTTAGAAAGGTAATTCAGTACATATATGTAATATCCACAGTGGGACCTTGGCCAGTTCCCCTGTAATCAAGTAAGTGAAGTGGATGTGTGTTCACACTAATTGAAGTGAAGTCAGACTGTAAGTAGCTTAATATCAGTTCAGATCAGGTTGGATTGTCAAAGTCAGGTCCATGTTTTGTCATCAAGTGAGTTACAAAAACTTTTCAGCTTTAAGAGTATGTAGGATTTTGGAAGTGTGAATAAAGGGTTATGGACTTGTACTACTAGTCAAACAGAAGACAGTTCAAGAAGTTTTGTTTTTTTTTAATCTTGACTTAAGCCTTGAAAAGACATAAGTTAAATTAGAAGAGGATAGGATGAATAGAAAACTTGAGATACTGAAGGCAATTTCTGGTGCCTTCCAAGGTCTTTCAGGGTTGGTAGCGTATTTTTTTTAATGACTTTTTAAATGACATTCAGAATTTATGGCTTTGTGAATTGACAGGTTTGCCATTAACACTCATATTTTGAGTCATGACAGAAGGAAAAAAGACTTTTTCTCAGCTTTTTCAGCAAGAGTTAGAAGAGCCACAGGGAAGATGAGGAACTTCTTGAGTGTGTGTGTGTGTGTACATGTGCACGCACGCTCGTGTATTTGTTAGACATTCTAGAGCTGGAATTCCGAGTTATAGCCTGAGTCAAGAAAGTATGTGCTTGGTCTCCCAGGGGGAAAGAAAGTCAGGAGACCTGTAGTGATTACTGAGTTCACCAGTAGGTGGGGAAGGCCTTGGTGGGAGGTTTGCCCACAGTGAAGGACAGAGGACTTGTCAAGTAGGTAGAAGGTGAGAGGAAGAATTTGAGGGAAAACATAAGGTATGTGGAGAGAATCTGAAGTCAATAACAAGAATGAAGTTTGTATACATTATGTCAGGTGTGTACAAATGGGCTTGTGGAGCTGCTGTGCCAAAATGTAACTACCAATTATTGAACATCTATTATGTTTAGCTTTGGGCTAGATGTTACATAGAGACAAGGTTTTTTGTTTGTTTGTTTTGTAAAGGTTTCTGCCTCAGTGTAGGCAGGGCTAACATATGAAGACATCACAAAGCAAAGCAGTGTGTAAAGGCCACAATGAGCCATAGAAACAATGTGCACTCTAGGAGATCAGAGAAAAGAAATCAATGTGTGCAGAACTGTGCAGAAAGGCCTTGAAGTAAAGGTAATTATTTAAGCTGGCTGGCCATTGAAGGATGATAGGACTTGGATGGGCAAAAGAAAGTGGGAAAAGCAATCCAGTGGGGAAAACAACATGAACAAGGCTTAAAAGGAAGAATTAGGGAGTAATAAAGCAAGCCCAATGGAAGCATGCTGGGGAATGTGTGGGAGGTGAGTAAGATTGCATGGGGGCTGGAGCCAGATTACTAGGCAAAGAAATTTGGACATTTTTTTCTGTGATTAGTGGGAAGCCATTGGAGTTTCTGAAATAGAGGAACAACATAATGAAACCATTGGTAGTGATTAGAGGTAGTTAGACCAGAGGAGGGAGGAGGAAGGGTGCGAAGGAAGGAGCTTTGAAGTTCATCCCTGAGATGGTCGGTGCATCCACCAGGGTGGTGGCCATGTGATAAGGTGAAAGGGATTGAAGAATCCACACGATGTGGAACCTAGCTAGATAACAGGAATGAAAGAGAAAGATTGGTAAAGACAAGATTTTAGTTTCCAGATGAGTTCTTTCCGAGAAAAATATTTACATAAAAAGACAGTCCACCCAACATCATTGCAAATAAACGTATGCATGTGTGAACTTACATAAACCCTGACTATCTAGGTGTTTAGAACAATCTTATATATAGAAAATCTTGTGCCCTTCATTCGTTATGTTCTAAGCAAGAGGTGAGATGGCAAAGAATGAAAGCTACAGTGGCAAAGGCATTTTAAGCAATTTAGTAAACCATGGATATTACAAAAATACACCATACATATACATACATATATACATATATTTCCCTTCTTTTTCTCCTGGTTTTTTTTCCTAGTATAGTTTAGTCTATGGGTAAAGGATCCCCTCTTGCTGCAAAAATGTTAGACTCCTAAGCCTTCTATGAATAACTGGTTGTTCCTAAGTTGATATTTGTAACTTGGTGACATTTTGTACGTGGTCAAAAAACATTTTTGGGGGAATGATTGTAATAAATCAATGTGCCCCTTGAAAATAGAAATTACTGAAATTTTACTAATTCAGTTGAATTGAAAAGTCAATCTGAAGTTTAAGCCAACTCATAAAAGAAAGCTATATTTCAAATTAACTTGGTTTTGATCCAGATGTTCTTACTAAAGAAGAAATTGGTTGAAGAATTGTAACTGCAGCAAAGTGCAAATTTTAAAGGTAGTGTTTTACTGCATAATAACCTATTGATGCAATTTCTTCTTTTCCTGTGTTATAAATTAAGTGAATAAAATCTCTTATGCCACCTTGCCTTCCCAATAAGTCCTGAAATTTCTGAGCTCCAGGACCAACATTTCTTTTATATTAAGTCATGTTAATCTTCTGTTTTTTTTGTAAGATTAATTATATTTTGACTTTTTTTGGTGTCACAATTTTATTTCAGAATCCACATCCTTTTTCCTAGTCTCCTTTGAGAGATGTGGTTTATACCACCTAAAGAAAGCAGTTCCATTTGGGCTGGTGTTTAGTCTGGGAGGGAAGTTCTCACCTTGAAAGTAGCTAACTTTTCACATCATAATAGAAGGATGTAGAACAAAGTTAACACTTCTGATTTTATAACCCGGCATCCTACCAGGGAACTGTGAAGAAACATGCAAGAAAGAAAAACAAAATATCTTTACCCAGTAACAGGGCCTTAAAATAGTTTCCTTTGTAGACTCTCAATACGTTTGAGACCTCTTATTTGATGTAGCCATAACTGGTAGTTTAGATCAGTTTGTTTAAAAATATAACGCATACACATAATAATTTTTAAGAGTATAAAGCAGAATCTCTTAAATGCCTTTTATTTTAACTTAAAACATATAAAGGGGATTTTTTTTTCACCAATATTTTGACACAATAACTTTTGCTCAGTATCTCAGGAAGCCACTCACACTCTTATAAAGTAGTTTTTCTACGCATCATAGGTAGTCCCTGGACTCATTGAGACTGAAGTACTTAATCTATTACCAAAATATTCATCTTGGATTTGAAAAACAAATTTCAGATGTGGCCAAAAGTGTTCAAATTGCCATTGTCCCTACATACATATCAGAAATTATCAAAGCAAGAAACTCAGTTTTTATTCATTCAAGCATCTTTTATTCTTCATCTATAGAGTATTTTTTATTGTACTTAAATTTGTTACCTTTCTACAAATCCCTTCTTCCAAAATGATGCAGGGGGACTATGAATCAGAATTATAATTCTATTCTTTTTTTTCCTAAGATTGTATGTCAGGTTGGATCTAGTTTAGGAAAATCTATCTAGATCAGCTCTGTCCAGTTGGAATATAATGTGAACAGCATATGTAATTTAAAATTTTCTAATAGCCACATTAAAAGGAATAAAAATAAAGACGTAAAATTAACTTTAATATTTTTATTTAATGCTACATATCCAGAAACTTATTACCATTTCAACATTTAATCAGTGTACATGCTTAATGAGATATTTTATCTTTGTCATACTAAGTCTTTGAAAATTGTGTATTTTACACCTACTAGATATCTTGATTTGAACTAGCACATTTAAAATGCTTGCTAGCCACATGTGGCAAATGGCCATCTTAGACTGCATATGTAAATGGTATCTTCTCATTCTCCCAAGATTTCTTAAATTCACTCTTAGTTCTAATTACCATTTATCCCTATTGTGGCCATTCTCAAAGTATGGTCCTTCACATCCTTTGGAGGTCTATGATGTCAAAACTACTCTTACAGAGATACCAAGGTGTTATTTGTCTTGTCTTGTTCCCAAAGTTCTTTTATGACTTTACAGTGTAGTTTTCTAAAGGCTTCATGAGACATGATATTACAAAAAACTGAATGCAGAAGCAGGTACAAGAATCCAGATATTAAAAAATGGATTTACAAAATGTAAAACAGTGCCATTCTTCTCACTTTCTTGTTTGGGAAAATAGTTATTTTTCCATAAATGGGTTTATTGTTATTTTAAAAGAATTAGTACATGCACACAACAATCTTTAATAGTGTCGAGAAGTCCTGAGACCAGAAAGTTTGAGAATCACTACCCCAGTGTATGTTGAATTTCCTTTGTACTATTACTATTAATGCTCTTTATTTGGCATTATCAATGACAGCTATTCTATGTAAGTGAATTTTCCAACTAACCAAGTGTTACTGGATATTTTAAAATGTCCGCTCATTTCTTGAAGATAGCACTTTCTAAAACACATTATATACATCTCTTCTTAAATATAAGATGCTATAATTGAATATATCCTGGTGACTGAATCACCTGCATTCACAGCCGACCTAACCAAAGTGCAGTCCACCAAACTATGCATTTGTCGTATGCTGTCTCTTCGGTAAATAAAACTTGTGCCAGTCTGACTTATCTAAATAGATATCTAGAATGTGACATTAATTTTCACTTGACATAGTTTAAAATGCAAGCATTTAACTTTGTTTGCAAAATTAGTTTAAAATGTTGCGAATAATGAAATTTGTAAACGTAGAAATTCAATTTAAAATATTTTAACTCAGGGACTCAAACATATTAAGATATTATGGCTTTTAAAAGTGTTTCATGATAAAACAGCCAGCAATTATTCTTTTATCAAAGATTGTTTTAGAATGTGAACAAAAATGTTTTATCTTCTAAGGCAGTTTCTGGGAATAGAAGATGAGCAAAGTAAGTTTTACCAGAATTTTGAATTTAATGGAACTTGGTGTTCAATACAAAAACTATCATGGAAAACCATGAATATCTTTCTTATTGGCATCTGATAGAAAAATATGGTAAGGAAATCAGAAATTGAACTCCGATATAGTCTGTTCCTCAGTGAAGGTTGAAAACAGGTATTTAATTGTATTAAAATAAAATTTTAAATAAGGTTGACAGTATTTAATTATATATTAACAGGAGCAGAACAGGTACTCAATAAGTATTTGTCTATTTAAACTTTTTGAAATAATTTTATATTGTAATCTTACATATACTCTATGTGCTTATATAATCAAAAAGACCACTGAGGTTCATGTTAGGTACTTGTGAAATATCTTTGATTAGTTATGTAATTACTACGTAAAATTTTTCTGCTGTTTATTAAACTCGTGGTTAGCCTCTGCCTAGAGAGTCAAGTCTACTATTTATTATACCAGATTTAAATATTTTGAGTTTTTTCCCTCAATGAATTCTTAAAGTGTTTTTTTCTCCCTGTGTTCCCTGTTTGTACTTATCTTCAGTCTATAACAGCTGGTTGGGTATCTGCTACTATCTATCCTTCAGCACATCCAGCCCACTGTTTGTAGACTGGCCGCATTCCAGGACTTCATCTTTGGTGTTCTCCTTCTGTGGGACTCATAGATAGCACTGTCAAAACTCATGGGAAACCAGATGTAATAACTGTGGTAGATCCGATTCTTACAAGACTTGTAATGTTCTCTAACCTTTAATTTACTCTGAAGTTTAATGTCATATTAATACCCAACAGCTTCTTGATTTGATTCTCTAATTTTTAATCAGTTTACCATTGTACAGCATGCTGCCCCATTTTTCCTCATGAAAGTATTAGGTTATGTGTAAGATTTCTCTTGTAGAAGCTAGTATGGGGTAACTGCTCTTTTGGCATTTTTTTATGAATCTAGTGCACTGTCAACCTATAAAATTGTCCACGAGTAATTTCATGCCATCTCGAGTATAAAGTATCAAGAGCACAGTCATCTTACAAACAAGAGACTGACTAGACCAAGAATCTTATTTCATGTTTTTTGAGCTATTTTGATTACAAGGAACAGAAAATCAGGCCATTTATGCCTCCTTTTGGAAAAGGAGAATTTACTGGAATGATGCATGTAGATTAGAACCAGAACCAGAACGCAAACAAGAACAAAAACTGGCTGCTCGTTGTGCATCTGCTCTTCTCTCACTTTTGGTTAGTCACTCTTTTCCATATTCCTCCATCTAAAATCTGGAAAGACCTCCTGACTGACATACTAGGAAACATCAATGCCCTTGATATCAGGCCACCTAATAAGTAGCCACACAGCCTACAGATGGCCGCCCATAAGTAGAGTGCCTGTGCCTATCTTTGCTCCAGTCATGGCCATTCCTGCACGAAGAATAACAGTAATGCTGTGGGGACCGTGGAAGTGAGCACTGGATTCGGCAGCCATGATAACATGCTCAGTGTACCCTCCCTCAAACCTTTGTCCCTTTCCAGCCACTGGCCTTTCTCCCCTTCTGTAAAGCTTCTGGACACAGCAATCTCTGCTCATTGCTTTCATTTTCTAAGTTCCCATTCATCTGTCAGTCCATTTCATAATAGTTTCTGCCACCACTATTCTCCTAAATCTGTTGCCTCCACTGTCCCCATGATTTCATAGTTGCTGATTCTCACCAGCACATTTTAGACCTATCTACTCTTTCATCATTTAATATTGTTGACCACTTTAAAAAAAAAAACTTTATCCTTAGTTTTAACACATCACCTTGGATATTGGATATCTTATCTCTTCGTCCATTCATTCTTAATCTCTTTGTCAGCTCATATTATATATGCCAACATTTCCCATGGTTCTGTCCTTATATTAGTTTTGCATAATAATTGCTGCATAACAGCAGCATAATGATAACCCTATCAATTAGAAAAGAAAATCATTATTTTAGTATGAGAAGCATGTTTTTGCCTGGTGAGCATTATTAGTTCCTCTTTTAATCACTCACAAATCACATATTTATATAAACCAGTCTAGGCTTCAAGTTTTCATATATTCTTAAATCATATGCTCTCTTCTTTATGAAGGGATGTTAGAGTATGTCTGTTCTCCTGAAATTTGAAATGAGGCATTTTAGTTTGTTCATTTCATTCATTTGTAACTTAAGGAAGGGGTTTCTGATTCTCATTATGTTTCACATTCAGACCTGAACTAGCTGTAACCATTTTGCCATTGCTTTGGCCCAGGCTGCCATTCTTTTTCATTCTCTATATCTACTGTTCCACTTCAGACCTCATGTCCTCCAGTAGCCCTGGGTTAGCTTCTTGTATTACTCTACTTCAGTCTATTCCTATACTGCTGCCAGAGTGATTTTTCTAAGGTACAGATAAGATCATGTCACTCCCTGCTTATAAGTCATCAGTGATTTTTCTCTCTCCCCTTCCAGGATATGTTTTTGGCCCCAGAGACCGGTTTCATGGAAGACAATTTTTCCACGGACTGGGCAGGGCAGAGAGGGATAGTTTCAGACAGATTCAAACACATTACATTTATTGTACACTTTATTTCTATTATTATTACATTGTAATATATAATGAAATAATTATACAACTCATCATAATGCAGAATCAGATGCCACGAGATACAGCTGTATAATTGAAGTAAATCAATTCAATTGCCACTATAAAGCCTGCCACCAGATTCAGCTTAATTGTTCCTGGCCACTCACTGGTGGGTTTTGATATGAGTCTGCAAGCAATTGATTTATTATGGTCTCTGTGCAGTCAGACCTCTCTGCTAATGTTAACTTGTATTTGCAGCTGCTCACCAGTGCTAGCATCACTGCCTCAGCTCCATCTCAGATCATTAGGCATTAGATTCACATGTGCGGTTCACACTTGAGTTCACACTCCTATAAGAGTCTAACGCCTGATGATCTGAGGTGGCGCTGGGCAGCGGCTACAAATACAGATGAAGCTTTGCTGGCTCGCTGCTCACTTCCTGCTGTGTGTCCCAGTTCCGGTTGGGGACCCTTGCTGTAGCATGAAGGCTTCATGGTATGGTCCCTGCCTGCCTTTCCAGTCTTATCTCATTGGACCATTTGTTGTTTCTGATTCTATATTCCAACTAAATTGTTCCCTAAATCCTGTTATTGCTCAGTCTTAGATAACATCGTGACAATTTCCAATGAAAAAAGGCCCGTGATGTATTAAGTTATTGTAGATATTTATAGCTAAGTTAAACAAAGCTCTATACTGAGGGGCCATTCACTGACCTCATTTTGCAAATCAGTTACTTTTGTTGATTACCATGTGTAAATCGAATATATAGTGCATCAAATTTGGCATTTGTTCTCACTGTAATTTAAGATATTCTGATAGAATAAAACATACAAATAAGCAAACTTGGCCCCAAGCGTTAATAAAATTCTTACTTAAGTATTCTGATATTTATGGCAAGGAATGACTTGCTTATTCAAATGTATAGTTTATTTTGATTTTATTTTCCTATTTTATTTTATTTATTCCTTGAACTTACCAAGATTACACAAATTATGTTATTTACTAAAACTGTTTCATAGAAAAGTGCTGCATCTTACTGTCTTATTTATCTCTTTCTCCAATTTTCTATGTCTACATATGTCTACATTGGGAATCTACATTATAAATTTACTAGAAAAGAAAACCGATAGTTGTTAAATGGCTTTGTTGATTGAATCAGTTACTTCTTATTTTTCATTATTTGAAGATTCCACAAGTGAACTAAGCAATGCCCTTTGGGACCTCCTTTTATTAAGAAGGGGTAGAGGAAGGGGGAGGAAAATAAAATATTGAGTCTTTCCTAGATTGCTAGGACATCAGAGGTTTCCCTGAAGTACACTGTTTTTCTGCTTATGTTAATTTCCTCTTGTTAGGCGAGTTGCTCCTGAAGCTATTAAATTTCATTCAGTATATATCTATGAAAGTAGAGGAGACAATATCAGCCACAAGGGGTTGCTGTGAAAACAGGTAGATATGTATAACATACCTACTATCACATAATAAACCCTTAATGCATGATAGTTACTATAGGAAGGGACTCTGAGATTTAGTTGTTCAAAAGAGTACAGATTTCAGGGTCATTCAGACTAGAATTGGAATTCCCAGTTACCAGCTTCGTGGACTTGGGCATAGTACTTCAATTTCTTCATTGTTAAAATGGGGTGTAATTAAATTTGTCACAGAATGTTGTATTAAGGCACCTACTAGAGTAGTAGGCATTTAGCAAGTATTCAATAAATGACTTGGAGTATGTTATTAGCACAGAAATAATCATTTATTGAGCACCATTTGTGCTGTAGTTTCTGTACGAGACCCTAGATATTGTCTATAATTCTGAAATGTCAGCTCGATAACTAAAATCTATTAGGAGACTACTTTATTTTAGTTAGGCAATATGTTTAACTTTTATAGTCTAGGTGTAGGCTAATTCTAACACAAATATTAACTCAGTTCACTGAGCCTAAATCTAGCCAAGAAACAAGCAAAAACAAGTTAACTTTACTAATCTTTTTAAAAGAGAAATTTAATAAATTTACTCGAAAGTGCAGGATTTAGCATAAGTTTCAATGGATGTCAAGCTCTGTGATGAATAAGGAATTTCTAGTCCAGTATGAAGGACCAATAGGAGGACAAGTATAATTTCAGTAGAATAATTTAAATTACAAGCATAAATAAGAGTGATTTTTTTATGGAAATGATGATTACCAGAAAAAACTGCAGAGAAGTTATGATAGACTAGCTTATGCTGCATTTACAAAGTAGCCCCAAGTTTCAGTGTTTGAAAACTGTAAAGGTTTATTTATTGATAATGGTATAATTTAATATTGGTCAGAGTGGCTCAGGGACCCAAGCTGATGAATGCTCTAACAGCTCAACTTGTAACCCCCATGGTTGTCTCGGTGGAGGAAGAGAGGAGCTGGACATTTGCCCACCTTAACGCCTTAAACACATTTGTACTTCCTGGTTCACAAAAGTCATTTCTACTTGTGGCCTGTTAGAATTACTTATTAACCAGATGGCTCCATCTATCTGTAAGAGAATGGGTAATATGGAAGGGTGAATATTTGGTGAGGAGAAATGTTTTTGCTATGTGGTATATAAACTCATTCTAAAAAGGTAGATTGAAATCAGGCTGATGAATGAGGAAAGAGGAGATGAAGAAGAAATTCTCATTTAAAGAAGTGAACATTAAGAAGTAAACTACTGTATTCTATTAAGCATTTGGAAGTTGTAGCATGGCGTAAGCTGGAAAGAGCTGAAAATAAGCCCCGAGGTAACTATACAGGTGAATACCATACTGGTAATATAATGCGATTTTTTTATAATTATAAAAACAGATTCATTACACCTCATGAATTTTATAGTTAATTTGTGGAAAGCGTGTTAATAGATTCTATGCTATGGGAAGACTGCTCTGTTATCTGCACCTAAGGATCCCCAAGTGCTTGGCACTATTTTTTTAAAATCTTGGTCCATCCAAAGGAGAATCACAGTGCTTAGAAAGAAATGAACTCTAAAGGGTTCATCTTTTTACCTGAACTTTCACAGTTGCATCAAAAGAGAATAAAACCTTCAATGAATCAACCTGCGAAGTATCACATGCATGTTAACTATTGGAAATAATTGTGGAGATCAGAAAAACAGTGTTATCTAAATACAGAGTTAAAATAACAGTTAACATGGATAGAGCATGTACTTTGTACAAGGAGCTGTGCTAATTATTTTATACACATTACCTCAATTAAAACCCACACTAACCCTGTGAGGAATCTACTCTTATTATCTCCGTTTCCAAACTTTATTAATTTATAAGCAGTTCAATGATATGACTTGTCGTTTTATACCTAAAACAGTTTGGTCCTAGAAAAGGTAAGTCAAAGTTATATACATGTTTTACCTACCATATATGTATCACAAATTAAAATCTCTATTATAAATGTTTTTGATTTCTGCAATAAAATAATTTAAATATAGCTAGTGGGAATTATGCTGCAATGTTAACTTTTCTGTTTTTAGGGTTTGGACAGAGGATCCAAAGGCCAAATTTCCACTTTCAGCAGTTTTATTTCAACTGTTAGCCAGAAGAAAGAAGCCACTGAAAACAGAAGTTCACCTACACATCTTGTTTTCCCTAACATCAGGAATGGTAAAAAAAAAAAAATGCACATAGTCTACATATCTTGGCTGAAAGTATACTTTCAAACTATTAAAAAAGTAGACAATTATTCAGCATTGTTTTGGTAGGTCTATTAATTTAAACAATAAGAAAAAGAAATAGGCTGTATAAGTATTTACGAGAAGAAGCAAAATCATTACACTTTGGTGAATTTTACCTAGAGTAAGAAGATGAAATATGAAGCTTATGAATAATAAGAAAGTTTGTTTAGGGAGCCAGACATAATGAAAATATAAGAAGATTTAATAGGTGTCCTTTATTTGAACAGTAATTAGAAGATTTGACAGAAAATATATTAAATACTTAGAAATAAACCTAAAAGAAAATGAGCAAAACTTATATGAAGAAAACGATAAAACTTAATTGAAAGACTAAAAGATGGTTTGAATGGAAAAACTTAACATAAATATTAGAGATGTCAGGTATATCCAACTTACTCTCTACATTTAATAAAATTTTCAACAGTTTTTTTGGAGAAACTTAAGAAAATGATGCTGTATTTGGTCAATAGGAATAAATGCCTGAAAGGATGCAAGAAAAAAAAAAATGAGGGAGCTCATTTCTCATGGTACCGTATATTATAAAGCTGAATTAATGATAGCATTGCCACCAAGACAGCCAATAGATGGAGCTAGATTAGTAAAAAAATATTGTATACAAATGATATTAAATTATTCAAAAAATTGAATTAGGCCAACTGGCTTACCTGTTGAAAATAATAACTTTAGATTTTTTAAAAAGCTATAGTCTACAGCCATGCCACCCTGAACAAGCCCGAACCCGTCTGATCTCAGAAGCTAATCAGGGTCAGGCCTGGTTAGTACTTGGATGGGAGACCACCTAGGAAGACCAGGTGTTGTAGACATGAAAAATAAAAAAATAAGGGATCATAAGCTGACAAGGTTCTTGCAATCTATAAGGTCAACCAAGGGTTGCCTCGCCTAAATAAATAAATAATAAAAACTATAAAAGTACTAGAAGAAAACTCAGGAGATAATTTTTATAATAAAATTCTTGGAATGACAACAGTGCCCAAAACCAAAAAACCAAAAATTGGTAAGTTCGAATACATGAGAAAATTGACAACTTCTTTAGGAATTTTAAAAAGTCATAAAGGACATCTCAGTGAAAAACATATCTTTGACTCATAAAGATCATTAATAAATCCATTAAATGAACATTCCAATAGAATAAAAAAGCAAAGGGTATGAACAGACCAATCAGAAAAGGAAACATGAATAGTTAATATACATGTGAAAAGAAGCTCGATCTCACTAGCATTTAAAGAAATACAAATTAAAACGAGTTAACATTGCCCAACTCAGCTGCAGAGAATGAAAGAATTTATATCTGTAGTGTTGTCTAAAGAGTGTGAAAATTGGTACTTTTATGGGTCTTGGAAATTGATACAACCTTTCTGGAAGGCACATTATTGACATATAATCAGATTTTTAAGTGTCCGTGTACTCACTGACCCAGTAATTCCATTTCTAGGAACTTATTCTAAGGAAATAACATAGATACAAAGACATATGGAAAAAATGTACATCGTTTAAAATAGAGGTATTTAAGGCAATGTAATGAATTGGTTAACTAAATTATGGTAATCCATATTGTATATACTATGCCTCTATTAAGAAAAATGTGATATGTATATAAAGTGTCTAGGAGAAATTCCCAAAATACATTGTGAAATGAAAAACACAAGTTACACAATAATAGGTAGAATATGACTCCAATTTTTTAAGTGTAGGCAAATCTTTTTTATTTCTTTGAGCACATAGGAGATATGGAAGGATGCCCACCAATCTATTAATGATATCCTCCGGAAAGTAGGATTGGGTGTATATTATTAATATGTTCTATTTCTGTATACAACTCTACATAGTTTTATCACAGGAAATGTATACTACTCACATAATTTTAAGTACCCCTTGCTCTGTAATAAGACAAAACAAACCTGCAAAGGTTTAAATGTCCCTCACACCAGAACAGAACTTAGAAATGTTTAAGGATGTAGTTTCTGGTTAATTGCCTGTGTCCGTAAACTGCATATGGCATAAATTATTTCTGCACAGATTTTCTGTTGACACTCCAAGATAGTGCTAGACCTATTCTCCACTCTGGTAGGTTAGTATTTACATTATCTCATTTATCAACTTTGTTTCTGATAACTTCTTTCTTCCATCACTTACACACACATACACACACACTTATTCCATCACTTCAGTCTTACCCCAAGGAAGCACCAGTCTTTATATGTCACAGTCCCCCAACCCACAACAAAACAAACGAACCTATAATTGTGTGATAGCATTATAGAAATAAAGAAAATGAACCTGAGGTAGAAATTATTTTCCCATTTTAAGGGTTAGGAAACTTAAGCCACAAAGAGTTTTAAGTGACTGGTCCTGAATTAATTTACAGAGCTAGTGAATGGCAGAGACAGAAAAGGGAAGAGAACCAAAAGTAGTTTTGAATAATGCCTTCTTTAAATGGAGTATTGGTGAAAAAAAAAGAAGTGAGCCCTGAAGGAGTTAGAATCAGGTTGTTCTATGACTTGGAAATCAAAGGAAAATAAAAATTTTTAAAGAAGATCTGGTTAACAGTGTCAGTGCAAGAGAGGACAAGATGAGTAAGCACTGAGACAAAGACAATTTGTTGGTTAATGTGTTCACTGGTGACTTAAGAACAGTTCAGTAGGATGGTTTAGTAGGAGAATTCATATTATAAGAAGTTAAGGGCAGATTAGTTTTGAGGATGTAGGGGCAATGTAGACTTGCCTTTAGAGTATCTTGAACTGAAAGAAAAAAGAGAACAGTGGAATCTCAGTATTATGGTTAAGAGAAAAATCTAATAGAGGGAGAGACTAAAGTTGCAGTAGGAACATAGAATAATAAAATGAACAGATAGAATCAATAAGCGGTGTGAGGATGGGATTAAGGAAGAATACATGCATAAGGGCTGAGATGTTGGCTCCAGCAAGGAGAGAAGGGCACTTCTTGCTCAGACTATGGAACAGAGGGAAGAGGGGCAGCAGGAGGAGGAAATGGAAGTAGGAAACACTTCTTGCCTTGAATTCAATAGTCTCCTCAGAGGGCTGCTGTAACAAAGTACCACAAACGTCAACAACAGAAATTTATTCTCTCATGGTTCTGGAAGCCAGAAGTCTAAAATCCAAGTGTTGGCAGGACTGGTTTCTTTTGAAGGTTCTGAGGGAGAATCTATTCCACACCTCTCTCCTATATTCGGGTGGTTGCCAACAGCCCTTGCTGTTCCCTGGCTTTTAGATGCCTCACTCCAGTCTCTGCCTGGACATGGCATTCTCCCCTGTAGGTCTTTTGGTGTCCAAATTTCTCTCTCCTTATAAGGACACCAGTCACTGCATTAGGACCCACCCTAATCCAGTTTGACTTTATCTTAAATTGATTATGTCTGCAAAGACCCTATTTCCAAATAAGGCCACATTCGCAGGTCCTGGTGTTTTGTACTTCAGCAGAACTTTTTGGTGGACATAGTTCAGCCCACAACAGAGAGTTAGGAACCTTAAGACCATTGATTCCACACCAAGTCCTATAATCTATTCCGTCTATACTAATCTCATGATCTCTGAAGCCAGCTTCCCAGCTTGTATGCCCACAACCTGCCTGCCTCCTTGGGTTGGTGTATTAACTCTGACTTCGGTCTGCTTATTGAGCTCCCACCACTTGTCTGTTTCCCTCTCCTCTGTGCCAGTGTATGGAGTCTGGACTCATCCCCAACCTGAAGTTGGAGTATTTGTACACAGCACTTTAGAGGACTAGACCTCTTAGACTTCCTTTATCTTATCGAAACTCCTTGTACTGACTTCTAGCTGTTCTGTCTGGATGCAGCCTGAATTCAGGTGTGACATGGAGTTTCTATGTCAGGGCTGCTGCAGGAAGAATTCTTTTATTGAATGGCAAGTTAGATTAAGTCTTCGAAATGTAAGCATGTTTATAATTCCTTGATCTTTTGGGAAACCTCTGTTACTTGCCAGTAAGATTGTTTCCTCAATGATGGCGTCATTCCTGGCAGTTAGTACATTTACTCCCTCTTCTCTGGTAGCAGGACCTATGCTGGGTATTCTCTAACAGCTTGTCTCTCCATCTGATCTTCAAGTGGTATTAGAGAAGCTGCAAAAGCCCAGCGTGGGCTTACCTAACAGCTGAGGGATGCCTTTCCTCCCTGTGGACCATGTGACTCGGTATGCCTGCAGAGTTGGCTGTCCTTTTCAAGATCGGAGAAGTGTAGGAGTTTTACCTACTATAACAGCTGCTAGAGATGATACATTTTCAAAGAAACAATATACATAATAAGTAATGGCAGAGGGGGCTAGCACTACATTCTCTCTTACTCTTTTGTAGCCTCCTTTCTAAAGTGATTATACTCCTTTCAGACTTATTAAACATCTTTAAACAGCACAGAACATCTTTAAAAGAAATGAAGCAATTTCTCCCCAAACCTTTTAAAATATGTTTGCAGACCTGGTAATTCAGAGAAGGGTAGACATGAACTATGATATTTTACCTCAGGGGCCCTGTTCCTCTCCCAGGTCAGCCCATTTCGTGAGTTCACTCTAGAAGAGCCCCGCTGTGACATAATGAATGGTGTCGTTTTACACACCCTGGAAAGATGCATCCCATGATCTTTGCAGTCTGAAATAACCAAGGGGAGAACACAATGGTCTTTACCTCCAGCAGTGATTGGATCTGTGTGTGGGGTCCTGTGATGGACTCACAGGTGAGGTACCACAGAGTTTTCACAGTCTCTCCAAGAGCAACTTGAGAGACAGACAGGGAAACAAGCTATCAGAAGAAACCCAGCACAGGACTTGCTATCTGGGAAGAGAAAAAGACTTCCAGTAGCCACTTTAGGATTTCTACCTTCGAACTATCTCCAAGGCCTCAGATGATCCCATTTCTAGGTTTCCTTGCAGAATGAACTGATTT